TCTCTATCTTTGAACTTCGTGGAATTGGACGTTACTGTGGTGTCATGGAAGAAAATGAAATCCCTTTTGGAGGAGGCATAGAGGATTGCCTGCCTGATGACAGCTGTGTATGGAAAGACCATGACAAGGCTTAAGGGATTAAAAGATGAAGATTAAACTTGCTAGGTTTAACCTTTTTCAACCTTGCAAGTTAAACCCAAATGGGGCTGTACTTTGGTAGTCCGTGTAAACTAATTGGAAATGATGGATTTTGTAAAAGGAAATGTGACCTCTTAGTTTCTCTTGACTGTGTGCAATAAAACGAGACCCGTGGGAATATCTCTATGTTGACTGCTCTAACAGCCTACCTGTGCTGTTACTGAGAGTGTTTATGCTCTCTTCATTTAAAAATCTGCAGTTCTTGTTCTGAATCTCCCTCTAGCAGAGGAAATCAAGTTGTTGTGCTGTCCTTAGCTCACCTTGGTCAACTTAGACCAGTAATTGGGCTGTATTGCAGGCGTGTCAAAGGCGTGTAGCTAATGAACCCTTGTAAACAATCCAGCTTGCAGTACCTAGTCATTAGAAGATGGATTAAAGGCAGCAAAGCCGTTCAAGTCCAAGCTTTTTTGCTCTTATGGCTTATTCCTCAGCCTTAATGCAGTTTTTAATGAGGCTGATGCTACATACAATGACTCTGCTAGCTTGAGAACGCTAGAGATACTTACTTAATTGGGTTTCTTATTCTTTGGTTCCCCTCCTAGCAGGAAAGAGAGCCTGTAGTGTGTGTCAGCTGAGCTGGAGTGGGTATTCCTCAAATGTGGCATGGAGGGGGAAGGCAGATGACATGGTGTAGGAGGAGGGGGGAGTGTACAAATAATTATAAAATGAGGAGGTGATCAAGTTGGCTTCACCTACTGTGATGGTGTCTGTCAGATTGGTTAACTGTGAAAAATTTTATGGTAGGTAACTTGTGGGACATGAAGGGATGCTAGATTCTCAAAACTCCATGTTTTGCATTCCTTCTTTCTGTGTTTTAAATGTAATCTTTTCTGTTAAAAAAAAAAAAAAGAGAGAAAATATCAGGTAGTGAAAAATCTGAATTTTGAGAATTAATGTGTTTGTGTAAGCATGCAGTATTTCTGTGCATGAAGAGTGCCTTTTGAGCTAACCTAGCTGTACATCTTCAGTGTATGGCAGGTGTATGTATGTACTTCTCTTCATGAGACCCTTAGTCCATATTGTTCCATATTTGGCCACTATCATATACAGGTCTTTGAGGATCAACTGTGCAGTTAATTCCTCTCTGTGATTTGCTTTTCAGTGTTGCTTTATGTCCGAAAAGAGTCAGAGGAAGTCTTTGATGCACTTATGTTAAAGACACCATCTTTGAAAGGCCTAATGGAAGCTGTAAGTATGAAGGCTGATTTGTAGTCCTTCCTCCTGCTTGAGGAAAAAGCAAGTGGCCCAGTCAGTGTGTGAGGGACGATCATAGGATTTAGAAAGCTGATTGCAGTTTGTGTGCATGTATCTCTGCTGCTTCTGGAAAAGATGCAGGAGGCCAATGCTCTTTCAGTAAAAGGGGAATTAATGTAAATAATGCTATAGTTCATTGTTGAAGAGGCTTTTGGAAGCTTCCTGTTTTAAGTGTTTTATTCCACACACACATGAGATCTGGGTGTAAGAAGGTGTTTCTTAACCTTCCTTGAAAATCTGAGCTTCAGAGTCACAAACTGCTAGGCAGTGCTGGAAAGATGGACCTCTGGGCTTGCTCTTTATGCAGGTTCTGTTCTGGACACGTGGCAGCAGCAAGCAGTTTGTAGGTCTTTTTCTTGAGGAAAAAAATGCAGTGGGCTCACACTTGGAATGACTTTGGTGGCAGAGATAAGAGCTGAATTAGGAGGTGGAGCAATTTCCAGAGCATGTTCAATGGCTTGGGTTTATTTCTGTGTGAAAGCCTTGTTTGGGGGCCTTCCTTCCCCTTTGCAGACTGCTAGGGAGGAGCTCTTTCTAAGCCCCAGCTTAGAACAGGGCAATGTGCTTGAACAGATTTATGTATCTGTGCACACAAGCGTGAAATTATTCTCTGGTGCTTGACTTCCAAAATAGCCTTCCACTTACTCCTGCTGCTATAATGCTGCAAGGGAAGTACAGAGCTTAACTCTGGGGAATGATGTCATGCTTGGCACTAGCTCAGAACTGCCATTTCTAACCAGCGTTCTGTGACTAATGCCTCGTGGAGGCTTGGAAGACAGAGGCCTCAGGGCTGTACAGTCAGGTATTGCCTTCTCTTTGGGACCAGAGATGGCTCTGTAACATGAGACCCTTTCCTGCCCACGGTGCTTTGGAGTGTGATGTTCTTGGCCTGTTCTCTACAAATCTGGGTGAGGAATAGGAGGCAGAAGATTAATTTTATTGATGGGTAATTGTGGGAGCAGCTTGAGTTGTTGTGTGCTGGGGCACATAGGCTTTGCCAGCATGCCCAGGCTGGAGAGTGGCTGACAGGTAGAGGGAGTGAAGGCTGTGGGGTCCTCCCTGACCCAGTGGGCCTGAAGTAAAACTGTACCTCTGCTGTTTCACTGGGACTTCTCACAACAATCAAAAGCTCACAAAGACAGTTTGGAGAACCCGTCACATGTTTTTGTGCCCTGAAAGAGCACATTGGTTTGGTGCTTGCTGTTGATTCAATAGAGCAGTTTGCCAAAGTAAATCAGACGTGGTTGCCTTTGTGTATTTGTATGATGACAAGCCATGCTTAGAGGCTGTGGACACTCAGATGGCTAAGGCAGAAATTTGTGATCATTTTGTCTTTAACAGTTTTTTTGCTTTGTTGCTGTTTCTTCCTTTATCAGCCAGTTTTTACCTGATCTCTCTGATACTGACTTTAAAATGGCTTTCAATACAGTAAGAGACCAGAGAGCCCAGGGAGGGTGCAGTGTTGTTGTTCTCTCTGTGTAGGCTCTTTGTTGAGTCAGCAGGGAGTTGCTAGATCAAGAATCAGTGCCCAGGTTTAGATCATAATTGAGTGTTTTGCACTGAAGTATATGAAAGGCAGTCTTAGCAATCTCCTTGCTTTACAGATGTTTTCTTTCTTTTGTTCTAGATATCTGACAAGTACGACGTTCCTTTTGATAAAATAGGAAAAATCTTCAAAAAATGTAAAAAAGGGTGAGTATGTATCCTAGGGGCAACTCTGAGAACATGAGCTCCTTTCTTTCAAACCTGTAGGCAAATCTGCTTTAACTCCTTCTGTGCGCTACATGAATGCAGATATTGTGTGTGTGTTCAGGCCCTGAACTAATCCTGTTCCAATGTAACTCACAGAGCAGTAAAGCATAAGGGTCCTGTAGAGCTAAGCAGTTGGACTTACTCTGTAAATGCAAGTCATTGCACTTGCATTGGTTTTGGAATCGACTGCTATTTGAATCAGACTGGATCATGCCAGATAAGAGTTCAGTTTGTTTAAAGGCTCCAAGTGACAAAGAACCTACTTGAACCCATGCTAGATTGTTTGAATGGTTAACTGTGTTCACTGTCTGTATTTGGCTAGAATTACTGAAGCTGGGGCTTTTTGTGTATGTGCTACATTGAAAACGACTCACACTTGTTGAATACCTGTTCCCTGCGAAGGCCACAATCCTTGAGCTCATAGTTGAGTTCATGAACGTGCCTTTATTTTTCCTTTTCATCTTCTAGTAATTTTCTTGGTCCTTCTCCAAAGTGACTTCAGTTTCTTAGCTTCTTCCCCAGAGCCCCTCTGCCCAGAAGAATTAATTCACCAGAAAAATTTAATCACCTTTGGAACATAATTTAAGTAGTAGTAATGTTTTTGTATCAGAATTGCCACACCGGAATAACTGCAAGAGTTTGGAATTGATGGCAGCTAAATCACTGTTGAGGACAGTTCTGTGTGTTTCAGTGGGTGAGCATGCCTTTATATACACACACTTACACACAAATACACAGTTATTCTGGCAAATAAAAGAAGTGACCACATATGAGCCGTTTCTTCACTGTGAGCTCTGCAGGGGTTATTTATAACTGCTGATTATTTATAACTGTCAAACAAACCAGTTCAGAGCCCCAAGGCTGCTAAAGCGTGTTCAGCATCTGATGGGATTTGTGCCATTTCTGAGATCTCCTTCCCTCCCTATTCAGGAGCTACACTTCATGCTTTCCTTCAGCTGAGAAGTGTGGCTGCAACCCTTGGTGGCAGGTCTGGATGAGAGCAGCTAGATTTGTTATGGCAGGTGAAGATTCAGTGCAGGCAGGCAGGAATCTTAGCTTACCTCTGGACAGTCTCACTGCTGTGAGATTTGAGTGTGCCTTTGCTGTCTTTGCCATTTGGAACTCTAATATTTCCCCAACTTATCTTATTTTTCCAGAATTCTGGTCAACATGGATGATAACATTGTGAAACACTATTCTAATGAAGATACCTTCCAGTTGCAGATTGAAGAAGTTGGAGGATCTTACAAGCTGACTCTCACTGAGATCTAAGATCACGGATCCTCTGTGGATTTTAAGCACAGATCTCGAGTGATCATTTTCCCATAATGTAGTGTGTTGGGTAAAACACTAATCACCTTCTCCAGGAGCAAGTCAGGTGTTGACTTGTTCTGGGGATCAGGGAGGTGTTTTTGCTTGATACCTTTGTCTCTGTTCTTTCTAGAGAACGTTTTAATGCTCATGACCTTATTTGCACTTGAAACCAGTGAGCAAAGAACAGCAATTAAATAGAGCATGTATAAAAGACTAGTAGATAAGGGAGGGGAAACCCTTGGAAGGTGGCCTTTTAGAGTGGTGATGTCTTATTTATCTATTTGGTACCCACGATTGAGCCTATTATCAGCTAATACCGTTTTACTGGACTGTTTTCTGTTAGGTAGAGCTGCAAAACTACTGACTGAAACTGGTAGGAATTGCGTGCAGGTTGGAGAAAAGTCATCATAATGTTTACTCTTTATCAGGGCAGGTGGTTGAAATCACTTGTGTCATTGGGGGGGAATGTAATACTGCCTTGCTTATGAAGAACTTGCCTTAGTAATTGTGTGAACTCTCATCAGATGAAGCTATATTGTATATAAGTGCAATATATTTTTGAAGGTTTGTAAATGTGTACATACAAGTGATATATAATATATATAAAATATGGTGTTTGTGTATATACCATGAATATATGCAAAGAAGCCCATCTAAAAGGATGCCATATACAGAGAAAACAGATATTTAACGTAGCTATTTAAAAAAAGGACAAAGCCTTAACATGCACCAAAGGTGAGCACACATTGGTATGTTCGTAGAACGTGCAGAAACCTTGTTCAGCATGCATTTTCCTGTGTGGAGGGAAGGGTAGCAGCTCTCCTCAACCCCTCTGGACAGCAAGGCACTGGCAGCTCTGCCTCCTGCCTGTCCTGGCTCTGAGCAGCAGTGTCCTGCTGCCCTCAGGGTGGTCTGGGCTGAGGCCGAGAGGCTATGCCCCAAGAAAAGCTGAGCACATTCAGGTTCCTTGAAACCTCACTTTGAGGAGTCAGGAAGTCTTCTGCAGGGTGGATTTCTGTCTGTGGCAGTATGCTTAGGGTTCCCCCAGACCTCTGCCAAGCCCTGTGGCAGCAGCTCGGTCTGGAGAAATCCAGTGTTTGGCAAGGTGTTGGGTGGTGCAGAAGGGAACCAGGGCCCTGCACCAATGAGGGCAGCTGGTAGCAGCAGTCAATCTGGTCCCAGCTGCCAGAAGCCTCCAAAAAACCTCCAAAACCAGCCACTGCAGTAAATTCTATAGTGCTTAGTCACTGTGCCTTTCTGCTTAGGAAGGGAAAGTGCCCTCTGGTTAGCAGCAAGGGAGAGGTGCACAGTAACAGCTGCAGCCACCTGCATGCAGGGTGGGATGTGAGCAGGTAGGAAGTTCTGGGACTGGTGCTGATGGCAGTAGTCTGTGTTAATGGGAGGTTTGCAGCACAAAGCTGGGGGGTGGGTTGGACGTGCATTGCCCTGGGTTGACCTGGATAGGCTGGAGAAGCTGGCTGGCAAAGTAGGACGTGATTCTGCTGAATGGTTCATGTGTCCCCTGAGCCATCAGCGAGTGGTAACCCAGTGTTGTCCGGCTGCATCGTGCTGCTGTTTGGAAAAGGGACGTAGATGTCACACCGAGTTTTACAAACAGAAGCACAGGCTGCAAAATGCCTGAGCCTTGCTCGGTGTCCCACTGGGCTCTGAGGGAGCCTCGGCCACAGCACAGTGCCCTGCTTTGGGCCAGTTCTTCCCACTGCTGTCCTGCCAGGAGCTCAGGGCTGAGGGAGCAGAGTCTCCAAACGCGTTGATGTGTGCTCCTGCTCCTTGTGGTGGGCTTAAGTTGCAGAAATTCAGGTTGCAGATGGAGAAGGTTGCCCAGGGAGGGCTGTGGCCTTTGGCATCAGAGCTCTCCAGAGCCAGGCTGGATGACATACCCTGGTGGCTGGGGGTGCAGTTATTCCTGCCCTGGTGCTGGGATGAGGTTTCCGACCTGAAATCCCTCCCTGCCGTGTATTTTGTTATTATTTTATGACTTAGGTGAACTGTGGTATTTTGGGATTTATGCTCGGGCCGACCCCAGGCAAGCTCTCAGAGCGTCCCATTCCCCCTCCTTCCCTCTCAGCACCGCGTGCCCTCCTGCTCACACCTGCCAACAGCCTGCTTGGGCCTGGGGGGAGCTGGCACGGCCCTGCCTCCTTCGGGCCTCCCTTGTGAGTTAGGGGCACTGCTGCAAGGGGATTTTTTAACCTGGTATATAGAATCCGTATATATTGACACATTTGTATCGAAAGTGGAAGTTCTATTACACAAACTCAATCTGGGGTCAGGGAAGTAGTTTAGGGTCTCTGTAGGGGTAGGGTTGACACAACCGTTATTTCTTTTTTACTGTGTAATGAAGTATGTGAACTAAATCTGCCCATTGCTTTCCTCTAAGGCTCTCTGGGACACGGGTCTTCTCTCTGTAGCAGCAACCTCATGTATGTGTTACGGAACTGATTTTTTGGTTTTGCCTCCTGTTTTTTAATTGAAAACGTATTTTAAACCAAGCTATTAAATTTTATATGTTCATTTCTAACGCTGAGTCTTCTGTGCAGCGAGCGCGGCTGCCTTTCCTGGCCTCTGTGACACGGCCAGGGCCCGAGGGAACGGCGTGGGGCGGGCGGGGAGGGGAGCTGGCGCTTAGGAGCGGGCTGCGCAGGGCTGCGGGCACGGCCCCGAGCGGCCGCAGTACGAGGGGCGTTTGAACGGCGCTCTCGGAGCTGGGCTTTGGATTCGGGGCGGTGCCGCGTGGAGCCGGGGCTGTCCGTCCGTCCTTGCCGCCTCGCGGTGCTGTATGACTCACTGCCGGCAGCGCGCACTGCGGGGCTCCGAGCTGCGGCGTGGAGCTGGGAGCCTCGCGTCCCCGTGTGCGCCCGGCCCTCCCTCGCCGTCGGCAGCCTTCCGGAGCCCCGGCTTGCAGGGACGGGCCCCGCTTAGGTGTGACGCGGCGTGGGTGGGAGAGCTGCAGGGCTGCAGGGCCGGGCACGGAGCGCAGCTCGCGCTTTATCCGTTCATCGCTGGTGCATAACGGGGCTGCCCCGGGGCGGCACGTGGGTGGGTGTGCGCGGGGACCGCTCCTCCTGCAAGCGTATATGTAATGAGGGAACGGGCGTTTTGCGTGAGCGGGTAGCGGCAGGAAAACGGCTTTAACCTAAAACGGGGAGATTTAAGTTAAACGGGGGGAGGAAACGCGGTGGGTGCCCCATCCCGAGGCGGACGCGGACGCGCTCCGTGCAGCCGGAGCCGTGCCCGCCGCACGTAGCCAGCCCTCCCCCCCCCACCCGCCGTCCACGTGCAGCGCGGCACGCACTCCGGGGGAGGGGAGTTCCGGCCCGGCCCCGCCCTCTCCCCGCCCCCGCCACACCCCCGGGCATTCCCGGCCGCCGCCCCGCCCCCCGCCCGACCTTTCCCCCAGTTTCCAGCTCCTCTCCCCCGCCCCCTGGCGCGCCGCCTTCCCGCCCGCCGCCGCGGGCCGCGCCCACGCGCCGCCCCCCCCTCCGGCAGCGCCCCTGCACGCCGCGATCACGCCGCCCGCCGCCTCCCGTTGGCCGCGCGCGGTTCGCGCCGGGCGCCGATTGGCGGAGAGCCTCCGCCCCGCCCGCGCCGTCTGGCGCGCGGAGCTCTCGGCGGCTCGCGGCGCGCGGGACTCTCGGTGCCGGCCCCGCGGGCGGGGAAGAAGGGGCGGGGGCGGTGCCGGGCGCCGCCGTGCTGCGCGCTGCCGTCCGCCGCGCTGCCTCCCGCCTTCCCGCTCCCGTCGACGCGCCATGCACGGCTCGGGTTCGCCCTGCCCGGAGATGGGAGATGCGGCCGCGGTGAGCGACGCGGGGACCGTTACCCCGAGGGGGGCGGGGGGCGGTCGGGACCGGTGCCTAATGGGATTGGGGCGATCGGGACCGGTGCCTAATGGGATTGGGGCGGGGGGCCGCCGGGGCCGTTAGCTTTGGGATGGGCCGCTCGGGGCCGGGACCTGCGGGGCTCCGTCCCGGCAGCGCGGCCGCCCCCTCACCCGGCGGGGTGAGCCGGGGACACGCGTCCCGGCCGCGAGCCGCTGCGCACAGCTCCGGGAAACGAGCTGCCCGGCCGCGTAGCGGAGGCGATGTCACACATCCGCGTCTCCGTGACACCGCGGGGCCCCGCTCCGTGAGTCGTCCCAGAAGTCGGGGCCGCGAGATCCCCGATGACATCACCCAGGAAGCGCGGTTCCCTTGGGACCGGAGGCCGTGGCGGCGGCGTGGCGCTGCCCGCTTTTTTTCGTCCCCCGTCTCTTTTTGGCGGGGCTGCAGCGCTTGCCCCGTGCCGCCCGTCCCGGTGCCGGCAGGGCGCTGAGCCAGCCGCAGCGCCGCCGGAGCCCTGTGACGCTCGGGTTTCCCGTGCAGGAAGGCTGGGTGTTGCCTCGCGTGTGGGTGCACACCCATATCTGTGCCGCTCGCCTTTGGAAGCGAACCGATAGCATTCCTGCGTATTGCCTTCGTGCTGCTCGGTGCCCTTTGGGATACCCGGCACCTGTGCAGTACCGTACGTTTCTAAGCACAGTTTTTCAAAGTACTGCATACAAAGAAGCCCCGCTGTGCTCCGGAAGCTCCTCGCCTTCCTTTTTCTCCACTAGCTAAAAATGAAACGTTTTGCGCAGTCTGCTACCCCCAGGCAGAGATCAGGGCTCGGAGCATCGTCCTGCCAGCCTGAAGTGTGTTTTCCACACGCTCCGGGAATGAGATTAGTGCTAATGAGCAGCCATCTTCTGGGGCCAGGAGACAGCCTTGTCTAAACAAGGTTGGAAGTTCATCCCTTCTTTCTGCTTGTATACAGACATGGACCGTGTTTATTCAGAGCAGTGCTATCCAGGAAAAGAACTCTGGAAACCTGAGCTCCACGTTAAACCTATCAATTTCTTTTTTGCAAGGGTGGCTTTTTGGTCTTGATTGGTTGATTTTATTTATTTGTTTGTGATCTTTTTCATTTTCCCCCCCTTTTTTTTTTTTTTCCTTTAGAAGGGTAACAGGGTGGGGAGACGAGCTGGCAGGGGGAGGGTGAGAGAGGAGCTGATGGGTAAAAGTCTTGCTGCAGGCATGGGATCTGTTTCAGATGACCTTCATGGTGAGCAGACAGCATGTGGGTGGTGTCAGCTTTGTATTCTGACTCGTGCTAATAGCCAGTAATCCGATTACATCCAGGTTGACATTGTGGATATCTATGAGTCCATCCGGGAGCGGCAGCGCCACGACAGCGAGCGTTCTACCTGCAGCACCTTGGAGCAGAATGACATCGAAGCCGTTGAGGCACTTGTTTGTATGAGCTCCTGGGGGCAAAGATTGCAGAAAAGTGACATATTAAAGATAAGGCCTCTCACGCCCTTCTCGGATTCTGGAGATTTCACAATGCACGCTGAGGCTACTTCTGAATTACCAAAGGATTATTTATCTACACTGGTAAGGAAGGCGTGACAGCAAAATAAGAGTGCGTGACACCTGGCTGGTACATCTCTGCCGTGTTTTGGCTTAGCTGAGAAAGATACCTCACTTGTGTGACCATGCATAAGATAGTGGCAGTGTGGCTCGTGCTGTGTGTGTACATGCAAAGCAGCAGCGTGGGGTTTCCTGCTGTTACTGGGGTGGCAAATGTTTGGTCTCCTGTTAAATCTTGGTATAAAAGCTCCTGCTGTCAGGAGCAGCACAGAGGAGGGCTGTTTCAGTGGTTGGATGTTTGAGAGAATCGCAGAAGGGCTGAGGTGGGCAGGGCCATGTGGGTGCATTGGGCACAGCCCTGCTGCAGCAGGGACACCCAGAGCAGGGTGCCCAGCACCGCATCCGGGGGTCCCCGAGGAGGAGATCCCACAGCTCTGAGCAGCCTGTGCTCCATCACCTGCACTGCACAGAAGTGCTGCCTGGTTCTTGGAGCATTTGGAGTACAAAAGGCAGATTGAGCCTCAGTGATTCAGCGCTGACTTATCTGGAAGGCCTTTAGGAGGAAGGTTCTTGACGACATTTGGCTTCACGCTGATCGCTAGTACAGCTTACCATTATGAAACAGCATATTTAATTGGTTTTTATGCTGTGTGTTTCTACACGCAGTTTGTTTTTCCAGAGCATTGGCCTTCTCTGACTGATTAATGTCAGTTGAATCACAAATCTTTTTTTGTTTCAATTTCTGTTGCAATAAAAGTAGATTTTAAAAAAATAAAAGATAAAAGACAGTCATTTGTGTTTTAGAAGGCTAAGACCTATTTCAGCCAGCTGGCTTTCAGTATGAAGTTACGTCACAAAAAGAGAATAGGAGAGACAAATAGGCTGGGATGATACAGCAACTGGCTGGTGGGCCTCTTCTGTTATACTCCTGCCACTCAGTTCTGGAACTCTGGAGCCGCCCAACAGACAGGCATGGGTTGGGATTTCAGTGTTAAGGGGGGGGGAGAGGTGGCAGCAGAAGGAAGGCACAGGGGTGGGTGGGTTATGGGGAAGAGCAGTTCCACTCGTGTTTATCTTGGGAATAGCCACCACCTGCTGGAGGAATCATTATTTAAAGATCTTAAATGATTAAAGTATCATTTATTATTAAATTAAAGATAAAAATATTGAAGTCTTACTGGAATATTGATGTTCACACGGTACGGTTCTGCTATCTATTGCTTGTCTGTCTCCGTGACCAGCAGAGTGCTCACAGCCTCTTACATCTGCACCCACTGCTGGGAGAAGAAACGAGGGGGTTTCTGTTGTGCACTGGGTAGACACGCAGCATTTTACATGGGTTTACAGTCTGCCCCATCGCCTTCCTTTTATTAATTAGTGCACTTCTGAACCTGTTCTGAATGACCATCAGATGAGGCAATGCAAGCTTTAATTGCTTTCCCCAAGAAGCGGTTTCTGAGGTTCTGAGAAGCAGGTGTGATTTTATTTTTGCACTAAAGACTGTGAAGGAGCGCACCGAGTCAGCAGCGTTGTATAACAGTGCTTTCTTTCCGCAGTGCATGACCCCCCCGCACAGCCCCGACCTCGTGGAGATGTCTGCCGCCGTGCTGCTCCCCTCGCAGGTCACTTACTCCAAGCCCAGGACCGTCATGGCGAGCACAGCTGCCTGCTTGGTCACATCCACCACCGACTCGACTCCCGCAGCCAAGCCGTCCGTCCTGAGCGTGGAGAGGCAGTGTGAGCAGAGGACGGCCCTCGCGGAAGCCTCTGCCCCTCAGCCTTGCCGGGCCATGGTGACGAGCGTCATACGGCACACGGGTGACAGCTCTGCTTACCACCACAGTCCTGCAGTGCGAGAGAAAGCAAAGGCAGCTTCGGGCTGCGGCACTTCTGGGGACCAGCGTGGAGCAGAGGACCGAAGACATTCCAGCCTGCAACAGGACATGTGTGCTGCAGATGCTTTAATTGACAAAGCCTCTTCGGCACGCCAGCCGTGTGCTGGTGACTGCAGTGATGTCGTGCCCAGCAAGGGACAGCTTCCAATCCGACCTGTTTCTCCACAGACCCACTTACCAAAGAGTTGCGAGGACGACTTGCAAAAAAGAGCTACCCCAGTGACACCCGTCCCCGTGTCAAGCCCCCAGGTTCTCTGTCAAATGATCCCTTTGAATGGCCAAAGCGGTGTGATTAATGCCTACGTCAAGCCTTCAGCTCCAACCGTCTCAGCTCCGATGAAACCCATTTTACCGCAGACATCTCCGCTCTCTCAGCCTGTGCTCGTGGGATCTTCTGTGCCTCAGGGGGCCGTCATGTTGGTTCTTCCACAGACTGCTGTCGCACCGACGCCGCAGTGCCCGCAAACAGTAATGACTGTTGGGAACACCAAGCTGTTGCCCCTTGCTCCTGCCCCCGTGTTCATCGCTTCTGGTCAAAGCTGCACCCCCCAGATGGACTTTTCGAGACGGAGGAATTATGTTTGCACCTTCCCCGGGTGCAAGAAAACCTATTTCAAGAGCTCCCACCTCAAAGCCCACCTTCGTACCCACACTGGTGTGTAATGTGGGATGAGCTGTTGTTGGGGTGCTGAAGGGTGCGTGGCAGCGGGTGGGAAAGGGAAGGGGCAGGTGGTCTGGGATCTTGTGCTCATCTTGGAGGAGAGAAGAATGCTCATTCTCCATGGGCAAGCAAAACAAAACAGACTTTGTTCTGAGACCTCAGCCGACCCCATAGTGTTGGTTGAGTTTCACATGCTTTAGCAGAGCAGAGCTTTGCCCTGTGTGTGCATGTGTTTAGATTTGAGTGGAATTCTGCCAGCTGGACAGGATTGCAGTGAATTGTGCAAGCCTTTATTTTGAGCATGGAGGGGTCTGGTGTAAGCAGTCCATAGTACAGGTAGTTGTTCTTAATTTGTACATGAATGAAAGAAAAGAGACATTCCAGTACTACTATGTTTAGAATTCCTAGAGTTTTGGCTAGGCTAAGTAGGTGTGCGTTAAGATTTTGGGTTACAGTGTTAGGATGCAGAGCTGCTGCAGGAATATAATTGGTTTTATGTTCAGTAATTGTAAATTAGTTACAATTAATATAAGATGATTTGTTCCATAACATCTGGTTAGCGTAGAGGCAGTGTAAATGTGTTCTACCTATTCTCTTTTTAACTCTCAGATCATGTTAAGTCAAAACTAAATGTTGAGTTCTTGTAAGGGACTATTTCTGATGTTGAGGAACAAGCACAGCAGGTGATTGATAAAGAAGAGTTCATTTAAATGTTTGTCTAAATTTTTTTTCCTTTGCTTATTTCCGCCACCCTCTGTGGTTCCATGGCAGGATGTGCATTAGTTTGCCAGCTTGTCTGTCCAATTCC